TCATGACTCCTAGAGTCACTAAATAAAGCTACGCTTTCAGAGTACCGAAACTCCCAAACTACGCGTCTGGAGCACGCCAGGGGCCGCCATCTTGGGTCCGCGCGCAGATGGAGGAGTGACTTTAGCTGAGCCAAGCCGAGCTGTAGCCGTCGACTGCTACAGCTGCCGCGGTCGCAACTGTGGCAGCGAATCAAAGTCGTGTTGTTCGTATCTCCACGTAACACGGAAAACGCGCGTGGTGAGCGACGGACTTCAGCGTGCGCGCGCAGTAAACAGCAAACAGCAGCAGGCAGAGGATCGCTGGACCCAAAATGGTGGCGTTGAAAAAACGCGATGATGATGATAGCAACTCACGTGACTGCCGCTGTCCAATGATGCCGCAGCGAACCAGAATATTGTTGAATAGAGCGACTGTATTGTCGGCAAAATGCCAAAGAAAAGGAATGCGGTACTCTGAAAGGGTATTTGGTGACTCTAATGACTCCTTACAGATCCTGCTATCTCTGTTGACGAGTCATTATATACCGAGTAAAGTGCGCTGCTCGTTGGTTGAATGCGTCATGGCGTGCTCTGTCAATTTCTACTTATCTGTAGATAAGCGAAAGTCGTAGAGCCAACGGATCAACAAAAGAGTAGAAAACAGATTGAAACATACTACATTCATCGTTGTTGACGCTCAGAAGCTAACTGAACGTTTGAGTCGCCAAAACGCGAGTTCAGCCGATAAATCCTGAAAGAGTTACTTCCTCGGTGAGAGTGCGATTATCGGCTTCGATCACTTCGGTTACAAATATATATATATATATATATCAGGGTGTCGAACCAGAACCGAACCGAAAACGAACCGGTATTTATTCCGGAATTGAACCCAAACCCGAACCGTTATATTGTTATCGCGATGAACCCGAACCGGAACTGAACCGGAAAAAAAATAACGGTTACCTGCTCATGTCAAAACGGTTCGGCCACACGCTGTTGACAATGAATGTGTTATCAATGCCATTTGTTTTCTAAGTGCCGTCAACTGACACACACCTCGCTTACATATTTTTCTTCTCCACTCAGTCTTAGGAATATAAACGCTGCATCCATGAATCTTGACAAACGCTGCATCCATGAATCTTGACCCCATACTGCGCTAGTCGCGGCTTGCACGAAAAAAAAAAAAAAAATTGGAAGGCTGTGCAAAAAAAAAAAAAAAAATCGCGTCACGGGATTTCATTTTTTTACAATCTCGTAAATCCTAAATGCTGCTGTGTGCTCATTTCATAACACGTTTCTAGAACGCGCGAGTTCTTGAAGCTTGCTTCCATCGGAATGAGAAAAGAAAAGGCTGTGGAGTTTGATAATAATGCATCCGGTTTCGTATAGGCACTTATAGAAGCTAACATATTTGTGAGACAGCAAACTCTTCTATTTTAATATTTATCCTATTACGTCCTTCTGGCGTTGCGTTCGGTGAAGTGTTTTTCATATTCCGTATCTTGTTTAATGAAAACTTCTTTAAGGGTCTAATTTGAGTTACCGATGGCTAGTTCAAATAAAGAAAGCTGTATTTTCTCCCCACTGTTCCTTCAATTGCTTACACGCCGAGGTGGCGGGATAGTTAGCGAGTTCTACTTGTAAGTGGGTTTGTAAGGAGGTCGCGGATTTTACAGCTACTGCGTCGGACCCAATTAGATGAAGTCCGAATGCGTAAACGTCGGTGAGGTAACCTTTAAGTGCACATAAAAAAAACATTCCTGGTAAAAATCCCTGAGCCTTATACTACGATGTATCCCGTTTCGTATGTGCTGATTTCAGATGTTTTATTTGTAATTTATTTTGATGTTGCAATTTGTCAATTATAATTTCCGAACCAGTTCGCGAACCGGTTCAGCGCCTCGAACCGGTTCGCGAACCGGTTCGCGGATCGAATTAATCAAACCGGAACTGAACCGGAATAAAATAAATTTACCTGAACCTGAACCGTAACCGAACCCGTATTTTTTTTTCGGTTCGACACACTGATATATATATATATATATATATATATATATATATATATATATATATATATATATATATATATTGCAGATGACAATTATTATAATTTGCCCGGAGCTTTATATGCGGCAGCTCTCGTCTCCGGAAAAGTATTTGTTAGTTCAACAAGAAATGGTTTTAGCAAACTGAAAAATCTAATCCCGTGCAGGGGTTTGTCTATCGCAATGTTGACATTCCGTATACAAAAAGTTTGCCCGTCTGAGGTGGGTTTAGTCATATAAGCTGTCTACGATATGCTGCCGCCATATCGATCCGTGAAAGCGAATCCAAGGTATATGGCGAATCTGCGAAATTTCTCCGTGCGATGCGATCGCGATCGGCATCCCAGAGGGGACAATGCGTAAAAAAAGACATGCCAAGAAAGAAAAATCACATAAATACATGGAAGCTGGGTGATCCATACGAATCCGCATTGCTCAGAAAGCTTAGTGCGGGGAAACGCCTTATTAAGATAATTAAGCTTGCCCCGACTCACCAAGCACCAAATAGAATCACTTTCGGGAGAAGTATTTTGAGGCTGCGAAGTCAAAGTTGTGTGTACCTTTGCATTTGTGAGCATTAAACGCCGATCAACGTACGCACACTTCCAAAATGATACGTGGGCCTTAGCTGTCTGATTCAGTTGTTCGAGCGCTTCTGCAGCCGAGGTGTGCTCTAAATCACGGAACTCAAACTTGAAGACTTCCTGCAGTGCACGTTTACGCTAAAAATAGTATTACACGAAGTGTCTAAAAAAAGAAAAAAAAAAAGTATAATACGGTTTTTGCAGGCTAGTGTACAGACGGGGCGACATATAATAGGGGCACAAATAAGTCGATTAATTAGCGGAATTTTGTTAATTATGAAAGATTAAAAAAAACATTCCAATGAAAAATTTGCTGAGTGTTGTGGAACACCACACAATAAGGTTAACTGTAGAAAGGCTGGGGAACGCGATGGTACGCTAAAGTTGGGCGTCACTACACTCGTACCACAGGTGCAAAGCGAAAACGCGCTCGCGTGGCTCCAATTCGTACTATGTTTATTTTCCATAAATTAAAAAAAAAGCTAATTAAGTTTTTAGTTTATTATTTCATTTATTACGACGATTAGCCACTTGTGCTATGTTCCCCTGGTCGTATAAAGTATATAACTCACCTGCACAAACCACATTAGTGTAGCTTTCACAGATTGTTTTTTAAAAACAAATCTGTGAAACCACACACGGTCTTTCTAGGTTACAAAATCTTGCGTCATCCCCCATCTTCACCCGACCTCACACCTCGTGACTTCTTCCTCTTCCCTCGCGCGAAGACTCCAGTGGGAGGAGACCATTTCAAGGACGACGACCGAGTGGTTGCTGAAGCGGAGCGATTCGTGGACACTCAAAACGAGCAGTTCTATGACAATGGCCTCCGGCAGGCTTACCACTGCTTAAAAAATGCGTGATTTTGGGTGGCGAATATGCAGAGAAAGACTAAAGGCCTGCCCGAGTTTCAGTGCTGCATCTCTATTCCTTCTTGACAATAATACGAACTTTGTGAACGCCCCTCGTATGTATGTAGTCACTGAATGGGCGAGCAGGGGTTTCCCCGGGAATTGAAATTAGGTGGGGGTGTCTAAATGTTTAAGGGAGGGGGGGGGGGGGGGGGGGTGTAGCATTGAGAATAGAGGATTTGTAGCGAATTAAGGGGGTGCCTCCTGAAAAACAAGGGGGAGGGGTGTAGGAAAATCACTGTGGGCGAGAACGGCAAGGCGTCTCTATCAGATACCCCGTCTCCAGCCGGCATGCGCTTTTTGGCTTATGTCCGCTTTGGCTGCACGTGCTACCAGAAGCGCTGACGAGATGCCAAAGCGTTATCAGCGTATTCAAGGGTTCCGGTGTCATCGAATGTGGGAAGCTGGAGGCGGAGGAAGCTGACGACCTCACTGACGTTCTCATTCCGTTATACCGACATGTGCGACCGAAAGAGTTGTTGTGAGCGGCTTTCGGCAATTGGACAAACACACGCTATGACGTCCTTAGTGGGATTCATTCTGCTTTCACCGACGAAGGCAAGAGTACTGTCAGACTGTGACCGTTGAAGGTGTCTATAAAAATGCAATGACTTCAAATTTCCACCGTGCCTTTTAGACGGGATCACAAATTGTGAAATCACGGCGAGGCAAATTCATGGTAGTGACGTTGTTGACGTCCCGTGGCGGAACCATCAAAAGGCGTCACCGAAACGTTTCGGCACTAAACGTTCTAAAAGACTAAATCTCCTCGATATATGTTTGTGTTCGTTCTACGAGTTGCGTCAAATGCGCGCACACACAAGGCACGTGTTTCATGCAGCTCTCGGAAGCAAATAGCGGCGGTGCACTCGCTCGTGGCACGTGGCACGACGAGCGCCGTGAGGATGCACTTCGCCGCTTCTTGATCTTGGTTCCAAATACTTTACTAAGGGGAATACATTCTACTCTGCTCATTTGCATTAGACAGAACGCCTACAGCGCCGCTGACGGAGTGGAGGTCCGCGTCGGTCCACGCGCAAGTGCACGTGGATGTTCGCGGCGGCCGCGGCGGTGTCGTCTCAGATTCCACAAGCCCCTTCATGTTTCAAAAGTAGCGCAAGGTGCGTCGATGCACGAGGCACGTGCAACGTGCGATCCTTGGGAAGATCATGGCGGCACAGTGCAGCAAGGTATTTAGCGCACCACTGAGCTAGAGTTGAGACGCCATGTTATTCTTAGAAGTGGCGCGCGGCACGTGTTTCGCGCATTTCCACAACAATGAATTTGGTATGTAGAACATGAATATCATCGATAGCCGAGACCTCCCCGACGATAGGTGGCTCTCGCCAAGCCCAGAAAACCTGTCCGCGCCGTGTATTTGAGAGGAGTGGAATGTATTCCCCCTAGTAAAGTATTTGTTGGTTACTGCGGTCGTACTTCAAGCGAAACGAAGTGTACTGTTCACGACACTCTCTCAGGAGCTGCTCCACGTGGAACGCATCTGGAGAGTGAGTTTCCGACTGCGTCCGCTGCGGGACATGAGTTCGCAGCAGCTGTTCTTCCTGTACTACGCGCTGGACAACTGCGAGCACAGTGACGCCCCCTTCAAGGCCCACGAGTACCTGGCGCAGAGGAGACTGCCCGCCGAGCTCCGGGTCAACTTCCCGCTCAGGCACATGCCCGAGTTCTCGGAGGCCTTCGGGTGCGGACAGGGAAGCGCCTTGCGGCTGCCGCACAACGCCGTCTGCTCCGTCTTCAACCTCTCGGTCCCTTCCCTGCACTGAGGGGTCTCGAGAAAAACAATATGGCTGCGTTCGTCGTCCTTTTAATTAGTTCATACGTTCGCTGCAAACAGAAATTGAGTAGCCTTTTTCTTTTAATTGATCGCAGCAAGGGCATTGATATTACTTGAGAGGGAACCTAAGGTTAATCCTATATAATTAAGCGATGCGAGAAAATATTTCAATATAGTTTACATAAATTTACGAATGTGTTTACTCGTAATGAAAGATTACCTAAGTAACATTTTGTTATTTACGAGTAGGTAGCAAAAGGTTACTTACGAGGTCTCGGTAAGAATACTTTGTTATATGCATCCCGAGACCTTGAAGCTGATTATTGAACCGCACTCATGAACGTGAATGCTCGGAGACCTCCCAAAAATAATCTTATCTCATCATTTTTTTTTTTCGACTGCATAATCCCGGCTGTGTAGAACTCAGAACTTCCTACCTGTACTATGAAATTTGTTTTTTCAAATGTACGCATTATGTTTTGTTGACCGCGCACATCGATTTACCAGCGCAGAACCGAATTTCCATGACGGAGCCTTCATTCAGGCTGCGCCTGTTAGACTAAACGTATTTTAGAAATAAAAAGTGTTGCATTTCAGAAACTGAAGTACTCTTCCTTACCCATGTTTCCTCGCTCGAAAAAGAAAAAAAACAACAACAAGAAGTTGCTAAAGTTGTGAACGTACATAAGCGAACATATTTCATTGGAATTTAGATTACATTATACATGCTTGGAATTTATTGTGTGATCAGGGGCTGGCCGCTTTGGGAAAAGATAGACCCGGCTGCATATAATTATAGAGCCCTGCGCGGATAACAGTTTGATCATTCGCATTTCATCCACATCGGCGAACTGTATCCGCATCTGAAACGCATCCGCAATGTTCTTAAATTGTTATATCCGCACCTGATCCACATTCTCATACATTGCATCCGCATCCGAACCGCATCCGCAAAATTCGAAACCACATTCGACCCACAATCTGCAGATTCATTTTACATCATGCAATCAAGGGGGGGGGAGGCTTCTTTTACTCTTTGGTGGCTTCTAAGTTTTGGGTTTTCTTCGCTCGAAGAACGTTTTCCGCGCTTTTCCTGCCAAACAAGAACACGCTTTGCCGGGACGATTGATGCCCCTACATTCTTACTTTTTCTATGGACTACATTTTTGGCGAGGTAGTACGCTCTAAAGCGATCTTCGGTGAGAATCAGATCTTGGTGCAAAGAACAAATTTCTCCCCGATGGGCACCTTTCTTTTTCTAGATTAATTTGCCCCGGCAAAACATTGAACGTCACTACACTCTGCGGTCGCACACGATTATGGGCCGCTTCGGCAAAAATGTCGATGTTGATCAGCGGATACCCGCATCCGATCCGCATACCCAGCCCCCGGCATCCGTATCCGATCCGGAATCCGCCAAACCTGATTCATGTTTCGCCGCATCCGCCAGTTCCCTGAAAATATCCCCGGATAATACGCGGTTCATCCGCAAATATGCCGGGCTCTATATATGGGTGATCACACGAAAACTGGACGGCATTCTGGTGCCAAAACAAAGCGGTTAAATTGTCCCTAAAATGTTTCCTGGAGTAGAACTGTTTAGAAAGGAATCTTCCATACGGACAAATTCACTGTATAAAAAATCCCAGCCCACGTGTGCGAAATCGCAGTATGACGAACCCGCGAGCAGTAACTCGATACGCGCGCACAGCAAACGTTGGAATGGATGTGTTCAAACAGCTTTCCTGGGAAGCTTAGTGCAGTACAGTGTCACTGTATACTGTTCCAACTCATTCCTGTTCAGTTATTCGATGGTTGTACCGGAACTCGGGCGTCTATCTCGGCTTCCTAGTGCATTCAGTCGATAGTTTGTTCTATGCTTTCTTGTATCTTTGGCTTGGTTTTAATATTCCCGTTTTCAATTAAAACTCGAAAACATTGCATTTGAACGTGAGACATATGCACACTTGATTAACATAAAATCTCATATTTTTCACATCGAATGGCTTCCCACAAAACTTCCGACGGTTCTGCGCGCGCTGTTACTGCGCAACAAGCAGGCTCTCTTGAGATGACAAGAAAAAATCCAGCGTCCTGGACGCTGTTCAAATCAGCACTCTGAAGAGTGGAAAAGCCTGTCGAGCGCTTACTCCCGGGACAAGCCGCTTACCATTCCGCTGGCGTCATACCGGTTTGTGTTTGTTTGCTCAGTGCGCCATCCAGCCCCCTAGCGGGGATAAGTGGTCTGTGTGGTACGGGTAGTATCTATCCCTCATAAGAGTTGAGTGCAGCGTTCTGAAAAGCACGAGCGCGTGTCGAGTGCTTATTTTCGCGTACATGTTAATGAAAATAAAATTTTTCTAGAGCTGTGCTCTCGCGCCTATGCCTCAGAAACGCGCAACTTGTAGGTGTGTTGATGTTATCGAATTTGAACGCTTCGTGTAGCTTCCTGTCAAAACGCTATGCTTATTTACAATGCATCGTCTTTATTATTATCAAAGCGCAACAGCGCATCTCTCCCTTTTAAAGCTGTCTAAAAACTCTCGAACTGCATTGTGCACGGTCGATATGACGTCGGGAACAAGACTTTCCACGTTGACCTAAGTCCCAGGCAACGGTGTGAGATGGAACTTGTTTTGATTAGGTCCAAGGCAACGGTGTGAGACGGAACTTGTTTTGACATTATTTGCATAGCCTCAAAAGCTTTTTCTCTCTAGGCAAATTGTCTATCTCGCTGAATCAACTGGACTCTCGAGCATCCTCCTCAACTAGTCAGTCACCTTCTCACGTCCTGCTGAATCTGGTGGAAGCCCTCTCGCTAGCGTTTCCGTTTGTCGGCTAACCTCTTGTATTCGAGTCTGTGCTGATGGACTTCCTTCTTTGTAGCCTTTCGGGCCTTTCATACATACCATTATAGGCCCACAGACAGCTGAGATCATGATGATGTATAAGTTGCAAGATGTCATCGCTACTGGGCCGAGGAATCTTGCGAAAAGGGCGAAGAGAGTAACCATAGTCCCTTTTACCATGGCTTGGATGATACTGAAGGATATGGACACGAGTTGAAAGAAGTAGAAGGCGCTGACATAGTGTGGTTTTAGGTCCAAAAGTCAAGTGTTATGCACGATCATCCCCGGCGGTAGGACCCGGAGGGAATCGTTGAATAAATAATATCACGCGACCATAGTTCGTCTGTGAAGACAAAAAACATTCATTCAACACTTTTTTTTTTCTGATCGGTAAATGAGCTACGATTTTAGGCATGTCGGTGTATACATGTTGCTAGTTTTACGGCGATGTGGTAATGCTCGTCAAAATGAACGACATATGAACGGTAGCCTTACAAAAGGCGCATACGTGGTTCAATTCAAGATGAACCAGTGATCTCTCTTTCGCAATCTGAACGATAGCGTAACTATTTTTTTTACAGGAGAGATGACGGCCGTGCAATTGGTAATGCCCTTCAGTGAGCTAGGTAATTTTTTAACAAAATATTTGACACCTGAAAAAAAAATGTAAGAGTTCGTTCACAACAAGATCCGTCTTCCATTTGTCTTAGAGACCACACAATTGGTCCTTTGAACTTGGTTCGAAACGGTTTCAAATGAAGGCAACCAAAGGCCCCTTTAGGACACCAGTGATATCTGCCGTATTCACTGAAACACGCGAAAATCGCACAGGTGAGCTCCCCTTTGCCCACCCTCTCCCCCGGTACGCGTATGCGTGTCTCACCGGACAGCTCTGATCGATGGTTCAGCAAAGCGCAACCACGCCAGTGCATGGCGGAGGACGCGTGCACTGCATGCGCGTTGGAGAATCAAGCGGTCATGCAAGCTCCGCGGGGTCACGCCGGGGAGGCCGCAGTTTGTCACAATTCGGCTCGTGTGAAGCGGACATTTGCATCGACTCGTAAATAGCCCCGACTGGCCACAGCCACCGAGCCGCCTGCAGGTCAACAATCGAGGTTGGCCTTCGACCGAGATTCGCGCTCTTTCGAACGGTAGTTCGTTTGGCTTACGCCCCGCGCTGGACTAATGAGATTGATGTACGTGCGGGAAGCCTGCTGATATTTCATTGGAGGAGTTCAGGGATGCGTTGAACGGCTCGCGAGTATGTGAATATTTTTTCCCCTTTATACGCGGCGAAGACGCGCAATTGGTTTGCTGCGAAAGTGTTTGGTAGGCGGCCAACTGTGCTATCTTCGACTGTGCCGTTGTGGCCACAGGCTTTCGAGTACCTAAATTTAAGCGTTTTGCAGGCCGGGTCATTACATAGGAGAGTCCCGAGGCACAGCCTTCGAGTTGCACTGTACGATAGGCGGTGCAGGTGATGCTCCGTGACGCGGACACAGGTCCACGGGAGTTATTGTAGCAAGGGGCTCTGCGCGTTCAACGCCCCCCCCCCCCCCCCTCCCCACACACAAACACACACACCGCATTTCCTAACTATGATGTCGCCACTAAAAACGAAAGTATATATATTTTTAAGAATGGGGAACATAATTAGACAATATTGCTTCTTCTTGAACGGCTGTTTTGAGGAAACTGTACCACTTCGTATAACTTTCACTCTCGTGACCAAGGAAGCGGTACAGATTTGTACTACTTTTCATGCAACCCGCGTCATAAATTAAAAAAAAAAAGAAAGAAAAAGAATGGATCTGCGAAAGCACGCGGTCTCACTCAACAACTTCGGTTTGTAGTTTAACCGCCCTTTTATGCTCCAAAATACGGTCGTTTAAGCAACGACCAGTCTGTCCTACGATGGAAAAACCGCGGCAGAGAGGAATATTATACACGACCTCTTCCAGACAAGGCACCGCGAAATCCCTGTGTTTTTTCGTGCAGCCCAAAACCGCCCCTGAAAAAGTCAACTTTTCTAGCTTGTGCTAGACAACGTTAACACCGAATTTTGACGCCACAAAACTTTTCTAGCGAGGAACTAAATGTTAGAACAGAAGGGTGTCTGCCCAAGGGATTAAAGTTTTCC